AAAAAAAAAAGTGTTGATGAGAAATGCTAATAATTATGAATTTTTTGTTGCAAAAAGAGAAAAGAAGTTGAAGAAAATAAATGCTAAACTGGAGAACACTTAAAAAAATTTAAAAATGATGAATTTTGGTACAAATAAAAAGCGTAAAATTGGGAGTGTCTCTAAATTAAAACAAAAAAAAAAAAAAAAAAAAAACCACCTAACTTTGGAGGTCAGTTTATAAGTAGTTTACGAGTATAACGACATGTCGTCTATGGATATATATTTTTTAAATATTTCTTTCACTCGTCTAATCTCCCCCTACTATGCTTTCCTCTCCCTCTCTTCACTCTCTTTCTACCCTTTGTTCCAATCGTCGCTGGTGTTCGAGCGCCGATCTGATTGTCGGTGGCGCTTTTTATGTTTTTTCTTTCTTATTCTTCCGACGAATCCCTGAGTTAGACACAGGTCAGTCATGAAACGATTATCCTATTCAGTTTCGTTTTCTTTCATTTCAATTTGAATTGATTCACTCCTCTATTTCGCTTCCTACATGATTTTGCTTCTTACATAGAAACGGGAATTTTCACTTTTGACAAGTTTTTGTATTTGAAAAACCAACAAGAATCATGCTATTTCATGGCCTCTTCGGAGTTGAGTAATCTGCAAAATCGAAAAAATTCACGTCTGTCATTTCTTTCCGTTCTGACTGGTGGGAGCGGTAAGAAACCTGAGTCCGGTCAGAAAGTTCTTACTGGTGTGCCCTGTAAGAAAATTGCCAACCGGTCTTTCCAGTAAGAAATATCTGATCGGGCATAATTTTGCCTCTCTTTAAGGTGACCCGTCGTTTTTTCCTTCCCATTTAAAGGATATTTTGGTCATTCACTCTTATCCCATGAATAAAAAAAATGAAAATTGAAATTTCATTTATAACGGGTCTACGAATTGAATGGTTGTACATTTGGGGCCTATTGACTTAAAAAATCCGTTTAAAAGGGACGTCATTTAATTGCCACTGTGCAAGAGCAATGAGCGATTCCTCCGTAACCGAAGCCGCCAAGAGCGGCGGTGCTGGTGGCGGCAGTGGCACTGGAGGGGGGTCCGAGGCTTCTCGGATTGGAGAGGTGAAGCAGTGGCTAGTGCACGAGTTCGGTCAAGCCGGGAAGGAAGTGCCGCAATTCGAATACACCCCTCGATCCGTGGCTTATTTACACAACCTTGCCACTCTCTCCCAAGCCAAAACCCAAGCTTCCAAGATCCTTGCCTCCGATTTCCGCCTCAAAGCCTCCGAATACCGCTCTCAAGGTTTCTTTGTCATTTTACATCCGTATAGACCCAAAATCCCACTTTGAACTTTCGTCGATTTTGGGAAAAATAGGTTAAAGTAGGGCAGTTTTTTGTTGTTTGCAGCGGCGCGAATTAGGGAGATTTTGGAGAATGTAGGGCTTGCACAGGAGAGTTTAGCCTCGAATGTTGTTGGATCGGTTCAGGTCTTGGCGAATGTGGCGAATTTACTGAACATCAGAGATACAGAGCTAAGCAGGTGAGGATTTCGATAATGTTGTTTGGCTATTTCCTTTGGTGAATCTTGTTCTGTCTTTGTTGTGATTTGTTTGGATCTAGTTTTCTAGTTGCAATGGGAGATATTTCCTTGAGGAAGGCTAGTGTGGAGGAGAAGAGGGCCAAGGTGCAGAAAGAGTCCAAGGTTTTGTTGGATTACACGCGAAAAGCTATTGCAAGATTAACGTATTTGAAGAGGTAAAAAGTGTTTTCTCTTGGAATTGAAAGTGTACGTGTTATTATGCTAGTAAATTTCTTTCAAGAAATGCTAACATTTGCTCGGTCCTCTTTGTAAATTGTTTTCAATAGAACGCTTGCGCAATTAGAGGAAGATGTAGCTCCCTGTGAGGTGCAGATGGAGAATTGGAAGACGAACTTGGCTGTTATGGCTGCTAAGGAGAGACAATACATGCAACAGAGTGCCAATTACAAGGTACTGTTAATTTATCCTGGTGTTATTATTATTTAAAGTTGTTCAAGTTTTTAAAGGAGTATGTCAATTTAAATGTTTGTTTAACAAGCATTTACAAAGAGGAAAAATGTTCATAGATTAAGGGCATGTTTTACTAAATTGTAATGTGATGTAATTTAGAAAGGGAGAGATTTTGGAATTGATACCGTTTCTAGCAATTACGTACCTATTAGGAAGTGGAATGAGAAACAATTTGATTGGTGCGTTTTAGTGCTTGCTTACTTTAGAAGTATGAATAACAGTATATACTAAAATTTCTGTCCATATAATTATTTGCTAAAAGGTAGTAACAATGCAAAAGGAGTATTGTGATTTATCATTTATTGACCAGTTCAAAGAGAAACACAACAATGGAGTAAGTTGGGATTTGATTTCCCTTTCATGTTGGCCCTGATAAATTAGCAGCATTGAATTGTTGTTAAGAAACTGTATGAACAGATCTAAAAGTTAAACACTTCCTTTTCTTTCCCCTTTCATGACAAGTAAACAAAGGCCTAAAACAAATACATTGTGTAAATATAAGAGAATGCTGCGAGCACATAAATAGAAGGAGATAATTGATTAAAAATTGTTGCAGAACTTCAATTCTAGGGGGAAATGATGATGTCTGTGATACGTAGAGAACCTTTTAGTTGAGAAGAATATGGTTAAATGGACGACATTTTAGGGTAAATTTATCTTGGTTGCAGTTTTTCAGTTGTGTTTAGGATCCTGCACCAAGTAGAAAATGGTTTCTTGAGGAAGTTCTTCATTGAGTAGCACCAAAAGGAGTCCATTTTTAATTCTCTTGAAAGTAATTTCATCACTTGTTTTCGAGCATAACATTTGTTTTCAATTTCCCTTTTTAAAGTTATTCCCTCCATGTTTTCTGGCGCTGATGAGAATTTCCCTGGCAGGCCATGCTAAATCGCGTGGGTTACACCCCGGAAATAAGCCATGGGGTATTGGTTGAAATGGCTGAGAACAGGAAGGAGTTAGAGAAGAAAACAAAGCCCATCCTTGATACTTTAAGAAGCTATCAGGACTTGCCTCCGGTATTTTTTCTCTTTCTGCTAATGGAGTTCCATTTTCTTGCTGACTGCTAGGCAGATCACTAATCATCAGTTCAATTTGTATTTGTACAGGATAAGGCCTTAGCTGCTTTGGCAATTGAGGACAAGAAAAGGCAATACGCTGCGGCCGAGAAGTACCTTGAAGATGTATTGCAATCAGCGCTTGCCCCTTCAGAGTAATTCACCCGTAGATAACTCACTGTTGTATGACTGTCCTTTCTTTCTTTCTTTCTTTTTATTTTATTTTATTTTATTTGTTTCTTTTACTGCTATGTTGCATTTGATGATTGGAAGCAGCAGAATTGTTATTTTATTATATTTTAACATATTCTCTACTTTTATATATACCACAGAACATCAAAATTCTAGTTTTTGGTTAAAGAACGCCATGCGACAGAATTAAAGTTGTGTAAAGTTCACATGCTTGAAATGTTCTCTAGAATTATTGTACCATCAGTCGTCTTTTATATAGCAAGAAATTGGTCTCACTATTGACTAGCATTTCATGATTAAGGTCTTGCATATACCATCTATAATTCATAGTCTATAATGGTTTTAAGGGGTCCTTCTATAGTGCCTTCATGACACGTGTCGCTTAGCTTTTACAACTTTAACAATCAAAGTTTGCAAGTATTCTTTATAAAATTCATTAGTCCATCGTCTCTTGACAGCTATAATGTCTGTACTTTACAAGTTCTAACATAAAATGCGTAAATTATTGTATTCTCGACACCTTCTCCTGGCATCATAAAAGTTTTACGGTTTTGAGGTCTCCTATTTACACTGAAACTTTTTTTCTACCATCCTTCAAACTTTCGTTTTTACCCCTGTTTCGGTGTGTAGCCTTGCTATTTACAAAGGACTAGATTGGGACATCTCTGGAACTAGGGACTCTTACTCAAAGATAACATGCACTGAAAAACTCTGATTATCTGTTACAATTGAGAGCGAATCAAACCAAATTAATAAGACATGAAAAGAGCTGTTCATCACAGCTACCTAACCATTCTTGTAGTTTTTGTTTTTTGTTTTTTTTTTTTTATGAAAACCTGACTATTCTTGTAGTTGTAAAAATACCGCTGGTTCTGTGTTCTTTACTGCCGATGTTGGTGGGAGTAAGTTCTTTATTTTTTCCTTTTTTCAAAATTTTCCCCCTTTCCCTGGATAAATCGGATGGACACTTTATGGGAATAGGCAATGCACGACGTATATTAAGGGTCCGTTTAGTTCGTTGATTCGAGTTTTTTATTCGAGTTGAGATGTGACTTTATGTAAGAGTTTTTTACTGTAGCAAAAAAGTTAGATGTGATTGTTTGTGAGAGCTTTTTACTGTAGAAAAACTCGAATTCTAAACTCGAATCAGCGAAATGAACGGAGCCTAAGACTTTTACCTTGTCATGGACTCATCTTTAACTATTCTTTTTTTCTTTATTTATTTATTTACAGTTTTGGTCTTGATCTTAAAATTAATGAACGATTTTTGAAATTTAACATAAATAATCACATTTATCGCTTAATAACTGAAATGTTACATAAACAGTTATAGCAAGTACAAAACATTATAGTTTTCAATTTCTAATAGTAACAAAGAGAAAATTTTGTACATAACGTAACTTTTTTTGTAAAATTTTAATTTATCATGTGATAGATGCATGATTATTTTTGTTAAATTTTAGAATTCATTTTTCAATAAGAAAATTGTAAAATTTACTCTTAGGAGTGCATAAGTCTGGACTTTTATTCCTTACTCTCGATTAATACCCTTTTGTTAGTGTGATTATTTGACTAAAAAAGTTATGAATTAAGTGAAGAGTAAAAATTCCATTCATGCAGTTTTAAGGAATATTTATCAAGATTATCCTTCTTTAATTTTACTGTTAGGGAAAAGTGTGGCAAATACTAATATGTCAAAATTAATAGTTTTAATAGAGTTATTTTCGATTTGTGTCGTGTCAACTTGTAAAGTAATCATAAAGTGTTTGTGTTGCGGTTTTCAAAAAATTATACATCACGGGTCGTGTTTGAATTGATTATAAAAAAAATAATCAAAACACGACACAAATACAACACATGATACAAATGATCACTCTCATTACATTCCTCTTAATACTATCCAAGAGAAAAGAACTACTATTTTCAAAGGAGAAGAACAGGGAGAGTCGGCGTGAGAAAGACATACAACTAATTTCCTAAAAAGAGGGGGCTGGGAACAAATTAATACGGAGGAGAAAAACGGAAGGAAAAAAAAAAAAAAAAAACTGCAAAAGATAAAACCTGAAGAGTGTACTTAACAGGGGCACAATTTTGGAGTAGCGGACACATGTGAAAATGCTTGAATTACTATTAGAGGAATCTTTTTTTTTTTCTTTCATTTTTCAGTTGAGGCACGTGCCTCCACTGAGCTAAACTTGTTATTTGAAAACATAGTACTGTATAGCAACAATATAGAGTTTATTCTTTTGGACTAATAACTCAAAGAAAATTGTAACTTGCACAAATTTTAGAGTAGCGGACACGTGTGAAAAAGCTTGAATTACTATTAGAGGAATATTTTTTTTTCTTTTATTTTTCAGTGGAGGCACGTGCCTCCACTGAGCTAAACTTGTTATTTGAAAACATGGTACTGTATAGCAACAAGATTGGATTTATTTTTTTGATCAAAATTTTAAAAAAATTAAATTTAAATTACAACTTTATTTAAATTTATATTTTTTTATAAAATTTAAGTTTGAACTTAAGTTTTAATTTGAATTGGGGCTAAAATTAGAGTTTAAAAGTTTCTTCTTCAACTCAAATTCAAATTAATGAATAATATTTTTTTATTCTTAAAAACGTCATAACTTTTTTGTTTTAATTCTGATTGAGATGATTTTTTTTCTATGCGTTCACAACGAAAAGACGAATAAAACCTCACTCATATACCCTATTAAAATTTTCTATTACCATTGAGTTTTATTAAAATATTATTTAAATACAAACTCAAGTTTTGACCCACCCAAACACAAACTCAAATAGATTCTCAATTCAAATCATAATTCAAATGTGCACATCCAAACACAGACTCAAGTTACAATTTCAATTCAAGTTATAACTCAAATTCAACTTAAAATTTACACTCAAATCAATAACTCAAAAATGCAACCGAACAAATCCTAAGCAACATTATTTTAGTTGAAGACCTTAGTAAAAAAATCACACCCATCCCCAATATTAATAACCTTAATCAATTATAGGTTTTTTCTTTTTCTCCATACATTCATGTAATTTTTTATGATGACAACTCTGGTATCTGTGAAAAATATATATCTCTTCCATTCCTCTCTCAATTCTTCCATACAAACTTGTCTAGCCCAATCTTACAGTAAATAATTTTCTCTCGGAGTGGTGGTGATAATTTATCAATTTCAGATCGTGAAAGAGGTGTAGCAATTGAGTATGAGGAGGAGAAACTAATGAATATGATAGTTTATTTGCAAAAGTAAAATGTAGGAGGACTATATTTAGAAGAATCTTCATGACACCATTTTGCTTTTTCTTGATTTCTATTCATCTTTCGAGTGTTTAAAAACTTTTTTGGTGTTTTTAGTTAATTGTGGCATTAAATCCTTGTGATATGTAGTATTTATTAAATTTTTTGGGACATGACTTTTGAAGTTGAGAATTCAATTAAGGTATCGAGAATATTATTTTAATGACTAATTAGCAATATTGTCTCTTGAACTATATTAATTGTGGTTAAGTCAATGCGTGTTATAAAGAGTAATGGCTTGCGAGTAATCACAAGAGATGACACAATTCGTGTTATAAAGAGTAATGAATTGCGAGTAATCGCAAGGGATACCGTGTATTTATCTTCTAACTTTAAATTTAACTGTTTTGATTAATGAAGATATGTCCATTAATTTTACCTGGTTTAATAACTGGCACTAAGTTTAAAGAAAAGATCTATTAGGATAATTGGTATATCCCTTGGTGCATCTCAAAGACCAAAGACAATTAAGCATTTAAGCCTCTTGTAGCAGCAATTAGTTTTCCCCAATTTTTTGAGGGCCTGGGACTTGGTGGATGCATCTATCAGGTACTACTCAAAGGCCAAAACACTAAAAAGAAAGCAAAGGTTGGGTTTGGAGTTATTTTTGTTTTTTATGTTTTTTGAGAAAAAAAAATTAAAATAAGAGAAAAATGACGTTTAACACAATTAAAGATAAAAAATAGAATGATTTAGTGTAAAATGGGAGAGAAATGAAAAAATACTTTTAATCGTTTTTCATTTTTTGTTTTTGTTTTCTCTTCTCTCGAGTAGAGAGAGAGACATAAATGAATTTTTTTTTATACTAAAAACAATCTCTTGATAAAACTACCAAACGCATTT